TCTCTCATCGTTGATGTTTCTATCTCTCTCTCCTTCTCTCTTCCTCTCTGAAATCAATAAAGAAATATATTTAAAAAATAAAATAAAATAAAAATTAAAGGGAGGAAATGTCCTCAGGTGAGGATTAACAAAAAAAAATAATAAATTGTTAAAAGAATGCATAAATAAATGTGGAAACGTAGTAAAGCCTTCAAAAAGTGTGGCACCCAGTCCCAAAGTCACTGAGTTAGAACCTGTTTATCAACTTCTAAGAGAAGGCTCTCTACCCCACAGGCACTCTGGTTGGTTCCACACTGGAGGAGTGCAGAAAAGCGGGAGGGCTCAGAGGTGGAGTGGGACAAATGAAATGCAAGTTATTTTGACTACTACTTGGAAGGCTGTTTACATGAGAAACTCTTTGAAATTGTATCATTAATCTTAGGAAGGTAAACAGCAATTTGTACTCCTATTTTTATCTGATGAGAATGCAGACTTCCAAAGAAATCTAGTTATAGTGTTATAACTCTTTGAAGTGTTCATTACCTTGAACTACAGCTACCATTATCTACTACTTGTTTCCCAGGAAATTCTTTTGTGTTTCACATGCCACCAATTGGATCACTGAAAAGTGGCCTGGCATGTATTATAGAAACAATAAATCTACTGACACCAGTAGAAGAATTAAATGACAAACCTCTAGAAATAACATTTTGTAGCACGTAGAAGCTTTTCCCCCCACACACAGACCCTTTTGAACAATCTGCCAACTTTAGGATTACTAAACAGATGTGTATAAGAGTCTAGACAAAAACAAATACCTAAAGTTCAGAAAATTGTTTTGCTTCCACAAAGTTCACACATTTTAAAAAAAATGCAAACCAGCCTTTCTGAATTTGCCAAGTCCCCCAACAAGAAAGAGCATGTTGTTCTACAAACCCTGCCATTAGCAAGGAACGGTGAACACTGAGTAATCCCCGACAGAATGAATCAAGTCACTGAAGAATCGAGTTTTTGAGTAAGAGAATAAAACATAAAACTCCCTCCTGAATGATACAGTCATTTCAGCACAAAAGCAGCTGTATAATACGTGAGTTTGGATAAAGCACCTCTTTATCATGATATTTAACACTTTAATGGAACAAAAACTGAACCGGCTTTCCTCCATTAAAAAAATTAAGCAAAAAGTGAAAAAGGATAAAATTTTAAAACCACTATGAAAAAGTAAGTGCCTGAACATTTTCAAAATGCTATCCTCCCCTAATCCTCCTCGAAGGGCTTCCGTTCTGCTTCGCCTCTATCCGGCTGGAGCTGCCAGAAGAGGCTCCTGCTGTGACCTGTCTCCCTTCCTTCTTTCTTCAGAGTCCTGCTGGGATAACCCGACCTTTACAAACTTCAGCTATTTTCCACAGAAAGAAGATGGGTTTCATTGCACTGTGCTATCTCCTTTTTGTGTAGCATTAATAGGAAATTTCATTCCCATTTCAGGTTTGACTAACCAAAGACTACACTATACTGTCAGCATGGAGAAGGCAGCAGCAACCATGTTCCTGAATGATAGTTTAGACAGCTGAGCATGAACTATTCTGATTTCCTTAATTTCTGGAAACCTTTCAAAATCATGTAATATAACTCTCTGCTGCCTAAAATAATATATACTAGTTTTTTATGGAAAAGAGGCAATTCTAACTCTTTACTTATGTCGTTATTCTGTAATAATCCAATCTCCTCTGAATGACTCAATCATCATGGATTGCCATTTTTAAAAACATATATTTATATGCCACCCTTTTTCTATAAATTACTTAAAATAGCTTACAAAAAATGAAACTATAAGAAAATAACATAAATTTTATATTTGAATTATAAAACCAAAACAGTCATAAGATGAATGGAACAGAATAACAGATCTCAGTGGGGTGTGGGAGGTGGGAGGGGATAGGAAGAGATTAACCAAAGAATACATATGTATAACCAATGGACAGATACCTAGTATGGGGAAGGCCTGGGGTGGGGCAGTGTTGAGTGGAGGGGGGTAAAATGGAGAAAATGAGAAACATCTGTAATACAGTGGGGCCTTGACTTACGAATTTAATTCGTACCGAGACCAAGCTCGTTAAGGAGCTCGTTAACTCAAATTACTCTATCAACTCAATGCAAAAAATCGGCCGAGAGACAGCTGGTATCTCAAAAAACTCGTTAGTCGGGACACTCGTAAGTCAAGGCCCCCACTGTATTGTCAGCAATAAAATAATAGTAGTAATAAAATCTACATATACAAAAGCCTAAGCGACTGAACGACCGAATGACCAAACGACTGAAGGACCAGTTGACTGGTTGCTATGATCAGCACTGATCACCAGGGGGCAGACACTCAATGCAGGAGCTGCCCTTTGGGGATCAGTGCGCTGCTCAGCTGACTGACGGGTACCAGAAACCGGGCTCATGGCAGACAAGTGCAGCTGCAGCAGCGCGAGCCTCTCCTGCCTCAATGAGAGCACTACCAAGTGGTGGCAGCAGGCACAGTGGGGCAAGGATGAGCAGGCGCGGTGCAGTGCCTGGCCTGGGCTCGACCAGTTCTTCTGTTGTTAGGGTCACTTTGCATATTACCCTTTTATTATATAGGATAGAGGCCTGGTGCATGAGTGGGGGCCAGCTGGTTTGCCCTAAATGGTGTCCCAGATCAGGTTGGGGGTCCCACTGCGGTGCCTGGCCAGCCTGGGTGAGGGACTGAGGGCTGTTTTCAGGCTGGCCACACCCCTTTCATGGAGGGGGATCCTGCTGGGGTGCCTGGCTAGCTTGGGTGGGAGGCTGA